GTGCTTCCGCCAAGCGAGGTTCGGCCAGGGACTGCTGGAGGCGTTCAGAGAGCTGTTGGAGGTCCAAGGTCTCCAGGCCCTGCGAAAACACGAAACTCTGAATTTTGAGAGCCTGGACTCGCCGCTCAGGCCACACTGGCCACATGCCAAGCCTCCAGCTGAAAGTAGGCCACGCCCGCGTGGAGCGTGGAGCAGCTGCCGCTCCGCTGCAGTGCCTCGAGGGCCTGTCGGCTCTCGGCGCTCAGGGGTCGCTCGTGGAAGGTGAACCACTTCTTCCCCCGCAAGGCCGGCGGCCAGCCTGACGCGTTGGTCGGCCACACGAAAGCCGATCTTGGAAAGGCGAAGCGAAAGGCGAGTATATTAAATAGGTATATTACGGTATATGGAGTAGGTATGTTGATGTTGCCCTTCTGGGCAAACTGGGTGAAGCAAGTTGGGTGAGCCAAGTTAAACTGATTCAGGTGGGTGATAATATTGTACAAAAATGTCTGACATGAGACACATGCAAAGACACCCAAGCATCTCAGGACTAAAACCTAAAGCAAAAATTAGACGACTAGTTACGACAAGACATGAATGTACGAATTCAAGGACTTACCTGCACGCATCGCATTGCGCAGCTGTGCTTGCAGTTTAACCCGATGATCGATGCCTCGGCATGTTTAAGATGGGGGGAAGTGAGTTGTTGCGGAAGATAGTGCGTTGACAAATTTGCAGTCGATTGAAAGTAGCAGGCACCGAATGGCACCGCTGTGTGTCTTGGTCTGGGTAGAGTTGAATCTGTTGAATGCTGGTGGAAGACTTATATAGGATAATTTCGACACACTGGCCACCCACCAACGAATGTTGAATGGAAGCCCAAATGCAGCAAGCTCATAGAATTACCCTTTTGTGGGAAATAACTCTCGACCAGAAAAGGTAGACAGGAATTGTGTGATAAATAAAGCACAGTCCATCTGCTTGTGCACACATAGAACGTCACTGAGGTGACAGCGATTTAACCTGAGGACTAAAATCATCGTAAGGCCTGCTGACGCGATCATTGTCTTTAATCCATCATTTGTCGTAATAGAAGGTCGGTATGAAGGGTAAACGCAAACGTCAGCTTTGTCACAAGAACACCCCAGGTCTAGTGAGGGATCCACTCCACATGTGGCCAAGCAAGCGTGGAAAAGAATTGCCAGACAGCCAATGCGTAGTAGTCTTCTCCCCAAGAACACACTCTTGCAATCATTTCATGGAGAGGTCCTTGAAGAGGTGTCTGACAAACTAATTGATGATCTGTAGACAGCTGTGCCGCGATAGGGTAAATGTTTCCTCTGGGGTGAGATCGACTGCAAATTTCTTTTGTGCGTCTTCTTCCTTCCTGGCATGTGGTTCAATTGGATAAGATATCGGACAAAAGCAACCTGGTCATCAGATATGTCTTTTTTGGAACTTCTGAATACGCTGGCACAAGTGGAATTCTGAGTGATCAGAGCGGGGACACTGTTTGGCTGCCTTGTCGGCAGTGTCATTACTCTAAATATGGCACAGGTCGTACGGTCAATGGCAGTATAAAGCCAGCACAATCGGCGATTGTCACAGATTCTCCCAATTGAATCACAGACATGCTGAGAATCGGTAAAAACTGTGGCTTGTGAATCAGGGAAATGTGATTGAAGTGTTTGGGCCAACTGAGAGGTCCACACTATCAATATGATGTTTTCCTTGCTGATGCGACACCATACAAACGCGGAAATCATCTTAACAAGATAATGACTTAGTGAAAGACTACCACCAAATTGAGTGACTGACCATGCAGCTCTCTGCATATGCTTGGCCCAGTGTGGGACAGTCCAGCCTTTGCAGTGTAGAAGTGGCTGCGAGACCGGGCACAAAAGGCTGTCGAGGATTCGCGAGATCTTCTTCACTCGGATGTGGGACTCCTTAGGGCACCGGACCTTCAAACGTTGAAGCACACGAAACACACAGCGATCTCTCTTGCTTCGGTGTTTTTGTTGGCCCCTTCTGCTGGGTCATTGTCCAGTGATGTGAAAGTTCCAAGTTCCAAGCTCTGCTCGATCGAACATTCATGTCAGTTGTGCAACTGCCTTCTGAAGCTGGGTTGATTCTATGTGGCTGGAATCTCCAAAGGATCGAACGAAAAACACGATTGACCCAATTGGTCTCTGATAAACATCCCAAAACATGCTAGCCGCTGCGAAGGGCTCAATGTCCTGCCAAGGCACATGAGTCATCCAAACATCGGTCGCTTCCCGAGTGGCCACCAGCCCAAGCTCACAGACCTTGCTGAGCTAAACTGGAACCAAAAAACAACTCCACAACCAATCTTTTGTAGGGTTCCTGGCTGTTGCCCACAAACCTGAAGTCTGGTGAAGAGGGCTCCCAGGAGCACAGACATGCTTGTGTGCTTTGGGAGGTTGAAAGGTGGCTAGCGGCTAGCTGCTCGTGTGCATGGAAGGTTCATTCCTACCGGATTTGGAGATTGGCCACCGACTCTTCATTCAACTCACTTTGGTCGTATCTCCAAAGGTCATAGGACTGTCAAATCAAATGGTACTTCACCACAACAAGTGGCCCAAAGGGACATGTTTCATAGACTTGCTGCAGCCCCAAAAAGGAAATTTACTCGGTGAATACAAGTATATAGTTAAGAGTCAACAGGGTCCCAACTGCTTGCAGGAAAGAAGAAACATAAGCCTCTGAGAATTGGACCACAAAACAGTGCATCAGCTCTTCAGGGCATAGAAAGACCCTTAGACCTCGTTCTACCACTCGCCCGCAAGGAATCAGCGGAGGATCAAAGAGAGAAAGAGAGAGAGAAAGAGAGATAGAACAAAGAATGCGCCAGCATAGAGCGAGCACAAAAAAAACAACATAGAAACCAGAGAAATATTCCGAACTCAAGACTGAACAACGACGACTTGTCTTTGCCCTTTCTACTCCAACGTGTTGAGTCTTGGAATCACTGTCCTCGCTCCAAGACACCGGATGTCCCTCCGGCAGCTGCGTGGAGCTCGCAGCCGCCGCAGCCAACGACTCGCTTGCCAGCTGCCGCTGCACCCGTCCTGCGGAAACAAAGCTTGGAGGGCGCACAGATTCTTGATACATTGATACCTCCTAAGGTCCTAAGAGCTGACCCATGTAGCTTCATGATTTCATGGCACGCTCCAACTGATGAGTGGCTGGGGTTGAAGCTGGTATCCTTGGTGTTCAACATGAAGATTGAACTTCATCCACCTCCACGCCACGCAGCTTGAATGTGGCACTGTTTCAAAATAACAAGAAACTACACAACATGTACCTGACACGCAGCTCACGCAAAACTCTGGAAGAAGAAAGGAGTGATCGGGATCAGCACTCTGCTTCCACAGCCCCCCTCAAGTCCTTTGACCCGCAGTGGGGTCAGCGACCGGGTTTCCACGCTTGAGTCACCCATGGACGCTCTTTCCAGCAGATCGTTGGACTGCTTGGCGGCCACGCCCGGCCCCTGAAACCGAGTGGATGGGAAGATCGTTTGAGTCGGCCGAGGAGCAACTAAAATATATATATATATATATATATATCGTCTTGTAAATACAATATTTATAGGATTTTATAGGGATCTTAGGAAGACTGACGGGAACTTGGTCATCCAGCGTCTCGGGAAGTTGCCGTGTTCCCTTGCTTTTGACACGTAGCCCAAGCATGGGAATGGGAATCCAACAACAGCATCAGGCAGGGGTCCTGAGTCCTGATTTTCTGCCATGGTAATATAGTGGCCGAATCAATGCACTGCACAATAGCTCAACGTTCCAAGCTGCATATGTTGACAATCCACGGTGGGGTGGCCAGTCAGGTCGCATTGTGTTAGAGACTTCAAGTTGTTGGCCCGAGACATGTAAGATTTCTAGCATACAATTACCGACCCCAAGATGAAACACAAAAGAAATATCAAATGAAGCTCTACGCTCCGCACTTCCTGTGCATTTCCTGAGCTGGTTTGAGCCTTCGCCACGGTGATGTGCGGATGCTGGTTTTGGCAGAGCGAGGCAAAAGGCTCTTCCAGTGAGGCGCGGAGAGCGACTAAACCCAAGGTGGCATCATAGCAAACCTCATCCAGGTGAAGGGGCTGGGTGATGAAATCGCGACAAATCCTAGACTCACACATGAGATGCGGTTTGCCTACTAGAAAGCTAGACATCATTCTTAGAATCTTAGAACTCAGAACCTTGAAAGTCCCATCATAGGTACATGGTGCAGATGGTCATTCCTTCTTAGTGCCTCAGTCGGGGCCTCCGGATCCAAGAATCTCCTTTGGAGGCCGTAGGTCCGTCTAAAAGGCTGGGTAAAGTCAATTATATATATAAGTTAACGCTACTAGTAGCGATGCCAGGAGCCCCTAGTAGCGTCCTTGCTCCTAGTAGCGATGCCCTTTTGCTCCTAGTAGCTTCTTGTTACTATATATACAGTAACATGATTGCAAATCCTCGTAGTTGCACATTGGCCAACAGCTGGAAATTCAGGCGAAGTTTCGTGCACGGCCCTCACGGCATGATCCCCCAAGAAACATGTATACAGAAAGCATGAAGATAGACGATCCACATTTAGTCAACCTGAACCTACAACCCTTTTGGAACAAGGCCTGGCACTGCACTGCCCCCCAGGATCGTTCCATCATCCCCATTCTCTCACTTCATCCCTTTTTCATCCAGGCAGCCGCTTGCAGTGTGACCTCAACTTCAACACCTTCGAGTGGTGCAAACGGAGCTTCCAACTCCGGGTCCGATGAGGCGCCCAGCCACAGCATGGTTACCTCGGATCGAAATGGAAAACTAATGATCAGAATGAAAGGAGCACAAAGAAGAGATGATAGATGCGGATAGATGTGTAGCTGTGCTCAAAAGGAAGGTTATTTTTGTAATGGCCTCTGCAGTTCTTGCGCGGCCAAAGGCATGCATCCATCACTTCGAACGAACTTCCACCTCTTTCTTGTTTCTTTTGCGAAGCGGTATCCTCTACGCCTGCGCTGATGTAACCACCTCCCAAATAGATGCCACCCGGTGTACGTGTGGGTCGTTGATCGGCGCCAGATCCGGACACATGTCGATGGCTTCGGCCAGCATCTCCCGCAGTTCTCGGGCAGAGTCGTGCCAAAGAAAGCTCCAGTCCAAAGCCACCATCCAGTAGAGGGTCTTCCACCTGGCAAAAATGTGAAAATCTCAGGCCCCTTCCGCCTCATGAGGCTGACTGTTTGGAGGAATTTGTGCACGGCCACACATGGCTGATTTGACAGTGCCAACGTAGGTAAGCACGGCACATGTTCAGCAGGTATTTGGAACAGACATTCAGTTTGTGCGCAGAGTTGTGTGCACATGAAGACGGCCAAGCATCTGAATGACAAGACACAGAGCGTACTTGGGTCCTCGGCACTCTTCCATGTCCGAAGATTTGTCTTGCGGCTTGTTGCGCATACGCTGGAGCGGACCATCCATGATCAGAACTCAGCACAACACACGAAATGATACACAGTGCGGGGCATGTGCTTCCCCAAAGTCGCGTGCTTGGATCGCCACCAGCTGGTGCCTGGCCGAGAGCTTCAGCTCGTGGTTCTGCGCAACTTGCACTGCCTCTTCCATGAGCTCCTCACTGAAGGTCTCCAAGAAGTTGCCCTCAAAGAGCAGAGTTGCCAAGGTTATATAGACAGCTGGCAGAGATTGCAAGCTTCAAAAAATATTGCCCATCCATCTAGAGGTCTTGCTTTTAGTGCCGTGATCCTATCTGCACAAAGGGGGCACCACAATGTGCAGAGTCAATGGACCCAGCCAAGAGTGACACCTGAACCGCCTGAAGGAAATCGTCCATTGAATGCTACGCAGAGCATTCAGTGCCAGTTCCGCTGTTCCACCCAGTGTCTTTCCATCGTCCCAGTGCCTGCTGAAGAGTCTTCATGGCCTCAGCGAGGAGCATCAGCCGTGGGAGGCGAAGGTCCAAATCTGCACAAAGGTCGAAGCTGCACTTCTCCTCCCAGGCGCAAACAAGCGCAAAACTCGGCAGGTGCGCTACAAGGTGTTGTCTGGTCAATATGACATATGCTTCTAACTTCTAACAGTTTCTACCATGAATTCATTCCAGTATCACAAATCCATGATGCATTCTCCCGAAGGCGGCAAAACCAGACTGGTTAAATGTCAACGAACATGACCACATCTCATCACATCTCAAGGTCCATTCGCTTCACATTCTTCTCAGTGGTGTGCTGGTACTTGATGTCGTTGCAGGTCCAAGTGAGTGTGGATGGTGAAGGATGAAAAACACGTTCAGTCCACTTCCTAGTGGTTCAACGAAATGGATGAAGAGCTTGGAAACTGTTCATCTACCAACCACAGGCATGGCTCGAAAAAGATGAACCCAAGTGGACGATTGGTGGTCCATTTGTGCTTCATGCCACCTCCCTGTTCTGCCCATCCTCATCCGTGAGGACTTCGGCATCCTGCAAGCTCCACTCGAAAATCGAAGAACAAACAGGGGGATGAGAGGTGTTTTGTAGGAAAGGAGCAATTTTGGAACGATATAGCGTCCTTGTTACTACTAGTAACAAGTACCTCGCCAGTAGTAACAAGTGCCTTACTACTAGTAACAAAAAGCTATTAGAATTAAAAATATTCTCAGCATGAGCGTCTCATGATGTGGAATCTGAAACGTGCCCTTTCGCAACATGTCTGGTGCGGATTGAGCAAGGTCGTCATTCAAAATACAGTAGTTGCCACTACAACACCAGTCTTCCCTTTCTCATGAGGCTTAGCGTGACCTCACAATAGAGAAAAGTGGCTTCCCTTCTAAAGCAGTCTGTTGAATACTATCCCTGAGAGCCGGCTTCTACTCTCGATCCACCAGAATCAACATTCCAACCTGTCTTTTGCCAATGACTTTCCCGAAACCAAACCAGCTTCGCCGGTCATCTTCCCCCGTCCGACGGTCCACGCACGCGGCCGCACGCGGGTCGTCTCCTCCCCTGCAGCACGGACCACGGCAGCTGCATCGGTAGCCTGGGGCACCAGCGACAAATGTCCCAGGCCACGCTGTGAGATCCGAGCGGTGCAGCGCTCTGCTGCCTGGAGTGGATTGGGGATCAAGCAAAACCGCATCATAGAACAGGTCCTAGTAGAAAGCTACTAGTAGTAATGCCCTTTGTTACTAGTAGCGATGCCCTTGCTCCTAGTAGCTTCTTGTTCCTAGTAGGGTTCAAAGGTTTTTTGTCTGCCATGTGGTTTGCAAAATCGTGGAATGTCACAAATATCGTCTCGAGTGAATAGAAAATTGCAATGCAGCATGTGTGTTGTGTATTTAAATGTGTGTTTGTTTGTTTTCTTTCTGGAGCATACTCAATAGAAATTCACTGCCTGAGGCCTGAGTGCTCCAAAACCTGCGACACGGGAGAAGTGACCCTTGCTTGACAGCACATGGCCGACCATAAGGGAAGTCGAAGTCACTTTGAGGGCACCTTTCACCAGCAACCAGTTATCTAGGGTGAAACCTTGACTAGAAGCAAAAAGCTACTAGGAACGAAGGGCATCGCTACCAAGAGCAAAGGACGCTACTAGGGGCTCCTGGCCTTACTACTAGGAGCATTCTTACTACCAAAGTTGAGTGAGGTTCGAGCCAAAACGCTTCGATGCCAAAGTCTTGGACGAAACGGGGTGAACTGGACTAAAGGAGGCCAGGAATATGTGCTTGGCATCAAATGGGACATCCACTGGTGGGGTCAGGTGCAGGGTGTTGTGCCTGTTGATAGTCGCCCTCATCATCATCCGGATGGCAAAGGTTCAGCAGGACCAAAGCCACCCGCCCCTCACGGCCCTGAAAGCCTTGTGTCACCTCAACTGGCGCGTGGGATTCACCTTCATAGATTCCTCAAACATCTCACTATCTGCGATGTTGTGGTCCCAACCTCTCCAACTCTAAAGGCTGTTCATCTGCATTCTTTTCGTGCTCTGTTTCTGGATTCCAGATGATTTGCATGAGTTTGGTCTCAAGAAACCGCACTTACAGCACATCGCACAAACGTCCCGCCCACGCCAGCCCAGTGGCTGCCGACACCACATCGTCGCGGTGCTGTTTCAAGATGTGGATCTTGTCGATGAATATGTAGCGCACCTAAGATGCTCGCGGTTTCAATAACAGTGGAAGGAGTTATATATATATACTTAAGTCAAAGAATACCACATGGAAATACCAAAATGTCACGCACAGCATTTACCTCCCACAGCATTTGAGAGAGTCCCCGATCTTCAATGGCAGGGGTGGGCTAAATTGTCCATCCGCCATGCCCAAACAGCAGCATCACACCTTCTATCCAAGCATTAAATTGACCACCTTTGCAGGAGTCACTTCATTCAAATCAAATAGTCTTGGTCGGTGGTGAGAATTTCTGGATCCTCAAGAACGTGTGGAACCTTGAGTTTCGACCTCCCCTGCCTACCTTTGCCACAACTCCAATGATTCATGGACACTACATCTCTGTACATCACAACCCTAGAGACAAGACTGTATGATCACAGGTAAACCACCAGAGTCCTGAACAAAAAGGCAGGATTAGTCGCAGGATAGGCCTAGCGTCGTTCAGTCGGGCGTTCTGCGTGATGTACTTCTAAAGGCAAAACTAAAGCAAATTGAACAACTAGTAATCCCTTGTGGTCCCTTGTGGCTTTTGCTGTGCATGCAATCTGTCACGTTTATATCTTTGGTAGGTCGATTCCCTCATCTCCTCCATTCACCTGCACATGGTGGCCATGACACATGTGGCTTGGCTGCCGCAGCTTGGATCGCCTTTAAGAAGAGCTCTTTGGCACTGCTGCCCCTGCGAGCTCCTCGTTTTAGTCGAAAGGGGATGGAGGAATGAGGGGTCACTGATTCACCTCACGGAAGCTTTGGGAGATGGCAAATGGCAAGCTGAACGCAAGAGTTGATGATTTAAAACGTGGAGCAAGAGCACCCTCACAATCCATCCTCGTAGACTCATATGACTGTCATCATCTGAAATGATTTGGATCACCTCTCCTGCAGCCACTTCATCTTGGTTGATCCACTCCCCTTGAGTCAAATGCGCTAGCGCACGGCAAAGTGTGGATTTCCCGCTGCCCTGCAGCCCCCGCACCAGCACCGCCAGCAGCGTCAGGGCTTCGCCGGGCTCCGCCATGGGCTCTGGCAAGGCCTGTGGCGTGCAACAGAAGTGGTGGGTCATCCTGAGGAAAAGAAGTGCTTCATGCGAAAGAAGCGGAAAAGAAAGATGCAAGAGAAGCAAACAAGCAAACGCCTACAATTTGTTTTTGCCTAAGCTTGGAAAATCGACAGAGACCGTCTGGTAATCAGTTGGAAACACCCAATCAAAACTGAGGTTTGCTGCAACTGCTACAAGCCTATCTCTCAAAAACCTGATGTACTTCACTGGCTTCGCAGCGTGTGAGATGGACCAAAGTAGGCTGGACGAGTCTACCATCCACACATAGCTGGATCTGTTCGGTGAATCAGTGAATGTCGTTCGCTAACCGACTACAGGACAAAGAACATCAGAACCGAAGGCACCGTCAAAAGCACAGGTCTTCCTGCCACTGCAGCTAGACCTATCAACCTTGACAGCGCAGCCCTCCAGAGTGAACAACAAAGAGGCTCCAAACTGCACATGTGGTTCTGCGCCAACAAAAGGCTAGCCTCCATGGGACGGCAGCCTTTTGTCAGACCTTGCACCGCTTGTTCGGGCCAGATGTCATCAACCTGCCACAAAAAGATTGCGAGTCCGTATTTCGTATTTCGAGCAACCGGCAGTTTTGAGTCCGTGCTCGGTGAAGGAATACACAGAATCTGCAAATCAAGGCAGGGGCAGCAGGCAGCAAGCAGGACTTCGTGCTACATACAAGCCTGATTGGGCAATGTGCAATTTGCTGACTGCAATTTCTGACCACTCGAAGGTTTGCTGATGCTCACCATGGGAATTTCTCTGTTGCAAGGCACACCTAATCTCGCAAATCTTGCTGTTTCCCCTTCAAATCTCCGGAAAACGGTACAGTTGCGGATGATGAACGGCATGGCTTCCAAAACTTTGCACGGTTGGTCTCGCAAAAGACACCTCTCGATCTTTCGTCCCCCTCCACCGGGTGTCCAACCTGTTTTGGCATCTCCAGCAACGCTCGGTGCTTCCGGAGCAGCTCTACCCAGTGCTCCAGCGGACACTGAGCCTCGTGGGGCATAAGGTAGACAGTATTCAGAAGAGCCCAAGAAAATCCCCACCAGCTCTAAGAACGCTACTTTCTTCTCTTAAGATGGATGCTACCAAAATCCTGCAGCGGAGTTGCAGGCCTTGAGCATCTTAGTCTGAGCAATCTAGTGGCGGCTTTGTGTATGTGTGTGAAAGTGTTGCCACACCATGATTCAAGACACACAGCGGCGGGGAAATAGCTTTGGCAGCTTCGATTGTCTTTAGGCTTGCAGCAGGGAGAGCTTTAACAAGAAAACTACAAAAGGAACTTCATCTTCAGGTCCACCTAATCCAGAACCTGCTCCGGAACCTCATCTGGAACCTGCTCCGGAATCTCCTCCAAAACTCCCCGCAACCCGCCCAGATTCACGCCCCAAGAACACTGATTCATAGAAGCGCCTTTAAGCGATGGCCTCCACCCTAGTAGCAATGGCCTCCACCTTAGTGGCGATGGCCTCCAACCTAATAGCGATGGCCTCCGACCGAATAGCAAAAGGAACCTTAGAGCGATGGCCTCCACCCTAGTAGCGATGGCCTCCAACCTAATAGCGATGGCCTAATAATAGCAAAAAGAACCTAAGCGCGATGGCCTCCACCCTCGTGGCGACGGCCTCCAGCCTAATAGCGATGGCCTCCAACCAAATTAATAGCGATGGCCTCCAACCTAATAGCAAAAGAAACCTAACCTAAGAGCGATGGCCTCCAACCGAATAGCAAAAGGAACCTAAGAGCGATGGCCTCCATCATATGATCCTATCGGTAAAATCAAACTGCCGTTGACCTGGTCTTGCTTTTCTCTGCTTATCAACTACACCGAGTCTCCTTCTTTCACCCATTTGGAGTGATAGTCTCATCCAACACTTGCGAACAAAAGAATCGAAGAGTTGGGCAAAACCTCATCGTCAGGGAACAGAAAATCGACAGTGATTCCGAGAGCAGCAGAGCCAGTGATTCCGTTCCTTGACCCAGCCTTCAGAGTAGCATACAAGCAAGGAAAGAGCTCCAGCCAGCGCGGATGCATCTGCGATGTCAACGATGTAGGAAGATCCTCAAACCATCTGTCAGAGCCAGCCTGGCAGGAATGCAACCACCCATGATCCTTGATCCAACACCTTGAGGTTTAGCATCCTAACCTAGAGGCGCTTGAAGTCCTTCCAGAAATTCCTGGGCGGTCATACGGTCGTCTAAGCCTTAGCTGGCATACTTAGAGCACGGAAACCAACCTGTCCTCACTTCAAGATCCAGAAACACACAAACGAAAAAACAATAAAAAAAGGAACCGGAAGTCCGGAAGAATACGAATCTTTACTAGCCTCATGCAAGCTAGGGTGATGCCCGGGCCCTCCGGTGCGCTCTATGTGCCTGAAAGGCGTCATGGGCAGCTTTCAGTGCCACCCAAAGGCTCCCCAGATGCTCCAGAATTGCTTTCTCTGAAAGCAACAGCAGCACGAAGCGGTAGAAGGACATAAAGTCCTAGCAGTCAGTATGAAGCAAGTAGGAAAGGTCCTATATAAGTCACTGTGTTCTTCTATTCGTTTGCCAGGCACTGAACCCTGCGGACCTGAGACCTGAGCATGTGAAACGGAAACGCTTGTCCCAGTGTGAGAGGAGGATCTTCCAGGCATTTGTAGATTATTGCTTCATATTGTTTCATCGCATTGCCTGTAACATATCTCTTGAGAAAAATCACTTTTGCCTGGCCTCCACAAGTTGCTGCTCTTCCGGGTGGTGCACGTGCAGCAAGCGGATGCGGCTCCGGATGCGGGCCTGGGGATGTTGCTGGGGCAGCGCAAGAGCAGAGTAGTCTGACTGCATCTGCATCCATATGAAAAGAAATCCAAAGAGCTGCAAAGTCTGCTTCACAAGGAATTATCCTGGAATTATCCTTATTGATGCCCTGGGTGAAGAGAAATGCAGCCCATGTCCGTGTATTTTGGTGTCCATCTGGACAGTTGATTCATACAATCCGAACGAATGCCTTTCAATGCCTTTCATACAGTAGCAGCATCTCCTCCGACAATGTTCCCCCTTTTCCACCATTAGCAAGACATTTTAAAGAGAACTCATTCACCAGTAAAATTCAATCCAAATCGTGTCCGGCTCAATCCCCAGCTTTGAAAAGTCACCCGGGTGAAAAGTCATGTCTTCCACCTCAGAGGCTCGCTTGCAGAACTTCTCCCGCAGCGCCCGCACCGTGACATACCAGGCATTCTTCCACCTCAGCAAAGCGGCGCTATTAGGTTGGAGGCCATCGCTTTTAGGTTGGAGGCCATCGCTTTTAGGTTGGAGGCAATCGCTCTTAGGTTGGAGGCCATCTTGGAGGCCATCGCTCTTAGGTTGGAGGCCATCGCTCTTAGGTTGGAGGCCATCGCTCTTAGGTTGGAGGCCATTGCTCTTGGGTTGGAGGCCATCGCTCTTAGGTTGGAGGCCATCGCTCTCAGGTTGGAGGCCGTCGCTCTTAGGTTGGAGGCCATCGCTCTTAGGTTGGAGGCCCTCGCTCTTAGGTTGGAGGCCATCGCTCTCAGGTTGGAGGCCATCGCTCTTAGGTTGGAGGCCATCGCTCTTAGGTTGCAGGCCATCGCTCTTAGGTTGGCCTCCTAGATTGGAGGCCATCGCTCTTAGGTTGGAGGTCATCGCTATTAGGTTGGAGGCCATCGCTCTTGGGTTGCAGGCCATCGCTATTAGGTTGGAGGCCATCGCTCTTAGATTTGAGGCCATCGCTCTTAGGTTGGAGGCCATCGCTCTTGTGGTTGCAGGCCATCGCTCTTAGATTGGAGGCCATCGCTCTTAGATTGGAGGCCATCGCTCTTAGGTTGGAGGCCATCGCTCTTAGGTTGGAAGCCATGGCTGCTAGATTGGAGGCCATCGCTCTTAGATTGGAGGCTATCGCTCTTAGGTTGGAGGCCATCCCTCTTAGGTTGGAGGCCATCGCTCTTAGATTGGAGGCCATCGCTCTTAGG